TATATATATAAAAAAAATTATAGTACGCTCAAGGGGGGGGCAGGGATGGGTACTACATTAGCATATTTCAGATTGTAGGAATTGCTCTGAAGAAATAACACAGGAGGATATGCACAAAAGTGGTAGAGGGATGAGGGCATCCTTTGACTCTTGGTCAGGGAAGGCGTCATTTGAGCTGAGAACGAACTGACAAGAAGGAGCCCATTATGCTAAGAGCTGGGGGACAGAGGGAATCTGAGAGCGAGAGGCCCTATGGCAGGCCAAAGCTTGGTGTCTGGAGCCAGCCAAGGGTGGAGATAGGAGGGATGGCAGGGCAGTGGTTTGCAATGTGTCCCTGCTAGGAACTTGCTGGAAATGCAGACTGTCAGCCCCCGCCCACCCTAGATCTACTGACTCAGGAACTCTGGGGTTGGGACCCAGGAATCTGTGTTTTAATAAGCTCCCCTGGTGATTTTTATGCAGACCCAGGTTTGAGATTCCCTGCAAGCCAGTAAAAGAAGGGAAGGAATTTGAGATTTATTCTAAGTATGACGGTAGGCTCTGTTTTGAGCAGGGGACTCCCACCATCTGACATAACTGAAAAAGATCAACCTGACTTCTTTTTTTTTTTTTTTAAAGATTTTATTTATTTATTTGAGAGAGAGAGAATGAGATAGAGAGAGCATGAGAGGGGGGAGGGTCAGAGGGAGAAGCAGACTCCCCGCCGAGCAGGGAGCCCGATGCGGGACTCGATCCCGGGACTCCAGGATCATGACCTGAGCCGAAGGCAGTCGCTTAACCAACTGAGCCACCCAGGCGCCCGATCAACCTGCCTTCTGTAGGAATGGATTATAGAGGAGAAGAGGGGCACAAGGTTGGAGATGGAGTAGTTTTGGCAGAGGAGATGGGGAGACGCAGGATTCAGGTTAGGGTCCCAGTGCCACCTTCCTGGCCTCTCTGTGTGTCTGACCCCGGAATAATCCAATCAAAAGTCTGAGTATATAAAGTCCCGGCCCACGGGTTGTACAGTAGCTCGTTCCAACCTTCTGGTAACTTCTCAATCCCCAATTGACAGATGAGAAAACACGAGTGTCCTAGCCAGGAAATGACTAGTCTAATGGCATAGTTCGAGAGGGGTGGAGCTAGGAGCCCCACTCAGGCCTGACCGAGTCCAGAATCCATGTGAGCTCAACCCCTAAACTCTGGCTTCCAGCTGTCCGGCTCAATCTATTGCAGCAAACATGTGTCTGTTCCTCTCCTCTTTCTGGGTTTCTCCGTCCCCGGGTGTCACTGTCTTTATTTCCACGTTTCCTCTTCCCACTCCCCTTCTACTCAGGCCTCCCTTCCCAC